CAGACAAAATATCATTCACCATACCTGGATATGATATTGATCTGATCAGACAACTATCATTCACTATACCTGGATATGATGTTGATCTGATCAGACAACTATCATTCACTATACCTGGATATGATGTTGATCTGATCAGACAAAATATCATTCACTATACCTGGATATGATATTGATCTGATCAGACAACTATCATTCACTATACCTGGATATGACATTGATCTGATCAAAAAAATATAATTCACTATACCTGGATATGATGCTGATCTGATCAGAAAAATATAATTCACTATACCTGGATATGATGCTGATCTGATCAGACAAATATAATTCACTATACCTGGATATGATGTTGATCTGATCAGACAACTATGAGCATTATTACATCCTGTAAGACGGACTGGTGTGAAAATGGAAACAAAGGGATGTGCGTTACTACGGTTATGTGGTTGGGTTTCTGAGTGGGGTCTATGCACCTGAGTCTAGAGAGCTGAGTCTATAGAGTCTATACACCTGAGTCTATACACCTGAGTCTATAGTTTATACATCTGAGTCTATACACCTGAGTCTATAGTCTATACACCTGAGTCTATACACCTGAGTCTATAGAGTCTATACACCTGAGTCTATACACCTGAGTCTATACAACTGAGTCTAGAGAGTCTATACACCTGAGTCTATACACCTGAGTCTATAGAGTCTATACACCTGAGTCTATAGAGTCTATACACCTGAGTCTATAGAGTCTATACACCTGAGTCTATAGTATATACACCTGAGTCTATACACCTGAGTCTATAGTCTATACACCTGAGTATATAGTCTATACACCTGTCTATAGAGTCTATACACCTGAGTCTATACACCTGAGTCTATAGTCTATACACCTGAGTCTATAGTCTATACACCTGAGTCTATACACCTGAGTCTATAGTCTATACACCTGAGTCTATAGTCTATACACCTGAGTCTATACACCTGAGTCTATAGAGTCTATACACCTGAGTCTATACACCTGAGTCTATAGTCTATACACCTGAGTCTATACACCTGAGTATATAGTCTATACACCAGAGTCTATACACCAGAGTCTATATTCTATACACCGGAGTCTATACACCTGATTCTAGAGAGTCTATAAACCTGAGTCTACAGAGCTGAGTCTATAGAGTCTACACACCAGAGTCTATAGTCTATACATCTGAGTCTATGGAGTTTATACACCTGAGTCTGTAGAGTCTATACACCTGAGGCTATCGTCTATACACCTGAGTTGAAACAACTGAGTCTATACACCTGAGTCTATAGTCTATGCACCTGCGTCTAGAGAGCTGAGTCTATAGTCTATACATCTGAGTCTATAGAGTCTATACACCTCAGTCTATAGTCCATACACATTATTCTATAGAGTCTATACACCTGAGTTTATAGTTTATACACCCATTTCTATACACTTCAGTCTATAGTCTGTACACTTGAGTCCAAACACCTGAGTCTGTAGTCTATACACCTGAGTCTATAGCGTCTTAACACCTGAGTCTATAGTCTATACACCTGAGTCTCGAGAGTCTATACACCTGAGTCTATACACCTGAGTCTATAGAGTCTATACACCTGAGTATATAGTCTATACACCTGAGTCTAGAGAGTCTATATACCTGAGTCTATAGTCTATACATCTGAGTCTATAAACCTGAGTCTATAGAGTCTATACAACTGAGTCTATAGTCTATACACCTGAGTCTATAGTCTATACATCTGAGTCTATAAACCTGAGTCTATACACCTGAGTCTATAGAGTCTATACACTTGAGTCTAGATAATCTATACACCTGAGTCTATACACCTGAGTCTAGAGAGCTGAGTCTATAGTCTATACACCTGAGTCTATAGTCTATACACCTGAGCTTATAGAGTCTATACACCTGAGTCTATAGTCTATACACTTGAGTCTATAGAGTCTATGCACCTGAGTCTAGAGAACTGAGTCTATAGAGTCTTTACGCCTGAGTCTATAGATTCAATATACCTGAGTCTATACAGCTCCTGCACATAGCATCGCATGAAAGAGCTTAGAACATTGTTTTATCATGGTATGAGGTCATAGACCGCCATGTGAAAACTGTAGTCTTCTGAAGTTGATTATTGGAGCTTGTTTAATGACATCATACACCATTGGATTAGATAGAACAAGTGTCCCATTACAACTTAATTGTTCATTTGGAAACCTTTTTACCAAATTATGATTGACTCCTTCGCTTTTAAACATCAGAAATTTATAATCAGTCAATTAGAAATAAATAACATGTTAACAGAGCGAGAGCCCAGGCACAAAGGCCTAGCCTTCCCTACTTTAGATTTCATTACAGACAGTCTCCACCGGAAAAGTAATGAGCCATAAAATGTAATTCAGAAATGATATTACCAAAAAATTATAGAGCGAGATAGCAGCCACAAAGGGGCCAGCAGCCACAAAGGGGCCAGCAGCCAGAAAGGGGCCAGCAGCCACAAAGGGGCCAGCAGCCAGAAAGGGGCCAGCAGCCACAAAGGGGCTAGCAGCCACAAAGGGACCAAGCCCCGGGAGCTCGTTTTACCAGTCTGGCTTGATGTACTTCTATTGATCTCACTAGAATCACTTAATATCACAGAGGATAAGGCTTACCTCTCCCCCCCCTTCCCCCCCCCCCCCTCCCCCGAAGGGGGAGGGGGAAAAGGGGAGAGAGGGCAGAGAGAGGGGAAAGGGGGAAGGGGGCGAGAAAAGAGGGGAAAAGAGGAGAGAGAGAAAAGAAAAGAGAGGGGAAAAGAGAGGGGGAGAGAGAAAAGAGAGGGGGGAGAGGAAAAGAAGGGGAAGGGAGAGAAAAGAGAAGAGAGAAAAGGGGGAGAGAGAAAAAGAGGAAGGGAGAGAGGAAAAAGAGGGGAGGGGGGGAAAGGGAAAGAAAAAAAGAACAAAAAAAAGAAGGAAAAGGGGGGAGAGAGGGGAGAGAGGGGGGGGGGAGAGAAAAAAGGGAGGAAAAAGAGAGGGGGGGGGGGGAAGAAAAAAAACCCGATTTCCCCCCCTTCCCCCTTTTTCAAAAGTAAATTTTTTGGATCTTTTTGAGAAAAAATGGAGAAAAGAAAAAGAGAAAGAGGGGGCGAAAAGAAAAAAAAAGAGAGAGAAGAGGGAAAAGGGGAGCGGGGGAAAGAGAGCGAAAGACCCAAAGGGGGAGAAAAGAGGGGAAGAGGGGGGAGCCCAAGAAAAAGGAGAGAAGGAGGGGGGGAGGGGGAGAAAAAGGGAAAAAAAACAAAAGAAAAAAAAAAAAAAAAAAAAAAAAAACAAAAAAGAAAAATAAGGGGGAAAAAAAAAAAAAAAAAAAAAGAAAAAAAAAAAAAAAAAAAAAAAAAAAAAAAAAAAAAAAAAAAAAAAAAAAAAAAAAAAATAAAAAAAAAAAAAAAAAAAAAAAAAAAGAGAGAGAGAGAGAGAGAGAGAGGGAGGGGAAGGGGGAGAGAGGAGGGGGGGAAGAAGAGAGAGAGGGGAGAGGGGGGGGGAGAGAGAAAAAAAAAAAAGGGAAAAAAAAGAGAGAGAGAGAGAGAGAGAAGAGAGAGAAGAGGGAGAGGAGAAGAGGAGAGAGAGAGAAAAGGGGAGAAGAGAGGGGGGGAAAAAGGAGGGGAGAAAGAGGAGGGGAGAGAGAGGAGAGAGAGCGGAGAGAGAGAGCGGGGAAGAGGAGGAAGGAGAGAGAGAGAGAGAGGAGCAAAGAGAGAGAAGAGGGGCAAGGGGCTGAGAGGAGCCGGGGAAAGAGAGAGAGAGAGAGGGCTTCCCTCTCCTCTCTTCTCTTTTCTTCCTCTCTTTTCCTTTCTTTCTCTCTCTCCCCTTTTCTCTTCCCCAAAACATGTTTAAAGGGATTACAGTTTTGGGAAGGGCCCAAAGGGGGGGCCTTCTCCCCTATTTGCTGAACCCATCAGGCAAAAAGGAAAAGGGGCCTTTAAAACAAAAATTTTCCCTATTAGGGGGGTTCCAGGTTAAAAAACCCAAAAGGGAATGAAAAGGTAGCTACGGTGTCAAAATTTTTTAACATCCGGGATTTTCGTAAATATTATCCAATGTATTACTTTTTAACCCCTCTTCGAGATACAAAAATCTTATGTTCTGTCATACCTTTCTCTTTTCCAAAGTATAAAGCTTATGATTATTATGCAATGTTCTAATTCAGATGATAAAAGGAAATGTTATGAAACCCATACTGAAAGTACTTTTTGATGTCCTCTTTTTTGTGCTATGTTATCCATTGTAGCAGAAATGGTCATTTTCTCGCTTTACAAGTGTTTTTAGTTGTATTTGGATCGGTTGGACAGTTAAACACACTTTCTGAAAGCATTTAGGAGCAATCACTGTTTGAGATAAATCTCCTGAAACAGAAGACACATGAGAACCCAGGTTACTTTAGAACAACTTTGGAGTCAACAGCAATTTCAGATTAATTTCACAGATTAACGCTTCAGAACGTGTTTGGAGCAGAAGAAGCCGGGGTTAACGTCGTCACAAGAAGACAGGGTTAACGTCGTCATCCACTGGAGCCTGTCAGCATTTAGGCTGCTTTGTGTGAGAAGGCACAAGCATATTAACCCTATGCTTACATACAATATCTGTGAAATCATGCATGCCAGGAGCGATGTCAGGGTGCTAGTGTGTAGCATCTCAGACTGTTTTCAGTCAACATTGTAGTAGGAGAACAGTGTTCTGCACATTCTCTATTCTTCTGACTTAACTGGTTAGAATATTCACCACCATGTTCTAATGGTTTTTGTTTCCTTTAACATTAGTGTCACAGTGTTTAAAGCTGTAGTGTCTAACACCCACACACCCTGCAAACACTTAATGCTCTGAAAATAAATAGATTGATAAAACCCAGACTCTAAAGGAGGAGGGGGACAGGGGGCTAAATTCCTGTAATGACTTGGGGGAGGCGTATTCATTTCTGCATTTCAGGGAGGGAGGTGGAGGCTGACCCCTGGAAATGAGAAGGATGCAGTGGGGCCCTGCTATCGCCCAGCAGCCGGCCACCAGCTCCCCTTATCAGCAGAGTGGTCTCATTTATTATTTCACCCCACCCCCCCTTCGGCCCCTCACCAGGACTAATGAAACCCTTCTCGCAGGAAGGTTACTGTTGCGACCCTAAACAGATTAGGAGAAAGACACTCATTTCTACTACATACTGTATGTAATTTCATAATTGATTCATGCGCAGAGAAATTGTATCCATAATAAGGCTGACACCTGAGAAATATGGGGACCATTAAAGAGGTGTGTGTCACTGATTAGGATTATTATCCCTGTAAGGGCGCTTGGAATCCTCATTTTTGCGGGATTTTGTTACTGGGTTTTCACTTTTCTGTTCTTTGCCTTGCAAAATGAAATTTAGCTAACCCAGGAAGGCATTAGCTGATCACTTATCAGTAGGAATCTGTGCTCATTCATTTAAAAGACATCTTGGATTATCTATCATTCCCAGAATGAAAGGGCTGCAGCAGTCATGCATGTATTTGGCGTAGTCTACTAACAGCTGGATAGGTAATCCAGGGTAAGTACCTAACTCAAGTACAACACTCATTACCTCACCGGGGATTTGAACCAGTAACCTTTTGGTTAATACTACATTCCCACTATAATACTCATGTGTTCTAATTACACTGCTAACAGGATTAGTGCTAATAGCACTTAATGCGTAATGATTCTTTGTCTTAATGCCCGGACCAACTCTACTCTCATTTTTCCTAAACAGGTGGCGCTCTCCTTATTCTCCCTTTTCTGTATAAACCCCCCCCCCCCCCCCTCCGGGTTTCAGAAGCAAACTTCCCAAATTGAGTCGACAAAAAAGAACACATTTACAAGTCTATTAATTGATAACAGCTGATGAATGGAAATGGGTGACAGATAAAACCTAGATGGTGTGTCACGAACATCGTGTATTGACAACCCAGGCCGGTGGCCTGAGGGGTATTGTGTTTGACCTTACTATGACCTGGCTGAAAACCTTGTCGTCGCTAAATAAATGACATAGAACAGATTAACATGTTAACAATCACTTCTGAATCTTATGGAGAGCCTATATCTGTCCAGAATGTTCATTTGATAAATTACGGTGAGGGTTATTTGGGGGGGGGGGGGGGGGGGATAAAAGAGTCCCGCCCGCTGCCTCAAATGAATGAAACGACCAAGAAGAGGATAACAATTGTTCTCAGATTGTAGTAGCGCTGTATGTATTCATACAATTTAGATGAGGCAGAATAAATGTTCATTTGTCAGGTTCTCTGTGTGCAGGTATTCTGCACTCCCATTCAACTGTAATGCATTAAAGTGCTAGCCCTCGCCTCAAGTGGAACGGTGTTTAAATTAATTCACTCAAATGATGACCTCTCTGTACAAAGAGGAATCCTAATGATGCCAGTCTGTACCATCCACATCTACTGTACTCTACTCCCCCATGATCCCAGTTAATAACATGATCCCAGTTAATAACATGATCCTAGCTAATAACATGATCCTAGCTAATAACATGATCCCAGCTAATAACATGATCCCAGTTAATAAACATTAACAATTAAACAATGAACACTTTTTTTTCCCCCTCTGACATCATTGTACGCGCAATACAACAGCAGAGTATGTACAATTTTTTTGTTTACCACGATGCTGGATACTCTTTTCCTCAAAACCAATACAATAACAAATGTGCCTGGGGCAGCCGGTGTCGCTGTTTTGTCTATTGCGGATCTCAGCTTTAAGATAAAAATCTATGTTTCTGATTAGCTTCTTTTTTTAAATCATTGAATAGTTGTTTTGGAAATGTGCTGCTTGGCATGACATGGTTTATATAGGCCAAGAGCCCTGGACTGTTGAGTTTGCTTGTATACAAAAGTGCAAAACAAACCTGGTTTAACTCCAACAGGCCAGTGTTTCCACTGTCTGCCCTCTGTAGCGCTGCTCAGTCCCTCTGATACCTCCAAGCTACTACTCTCAGAAACTGACCATGAAAGAAAGCCTTCCCACAAAGGAAGAAATATATATTGAGTAGTGTCTTTTGTGTGGCCAAAGCATTTATCTTCAAATCTTAATAAACCTGGCCATCCTTTATAAATGTTCATTTGTCAGGTTCTCTGTGTGCAGGTATTCTGCACTCCCATTCAACTGTAATGCATTAAAGCGCTACCCCTCGCCTCAAGTGGAACGGTGTTTAAATTAATTCACTCAAATGATGACCTCTCTGTACAAAGAGGAATCCTAAAATGGACTGATGCCAGTCTGTACCATCCACATCTACTGTACTCTACTCCCCCATGATCCCAGTTAATAACATGATCCTAGCTAATAACATGATCCTAGCTAATAACATGATCCTAGCTAATAACATGATCCCAGCTAATAACATGATCCCAGTTAATAAACAAGATCCCAGTTAATATCATGATCCCAGTTAATAACATGATCCCAGTTAATAACATGATCCTAGCTAATAACATGATCCCAGCTAATAACATGATCCCAATTAATAAACAAGATCCCAGTTAATATCATGATCCCATTTAATAACATGATCCCAGTTAATAAACAAGATCCCAGTTAATATCATGATCCCAGTTAATAACATTATCCCAGTTAATAACATGATCCTAGCTAATAACATGATCCCAGCTAATAACATGATCCCAGTTAATAAACAAGATCCCAGTTAATATCATGATCCCAGTTAATAACATGATCCCAGTTAATAAACAAGATCCCAGTTAATATCATGATCCCAGTTAATAACATGATCCCAGTTAATAACAGGATCACAGTTAATAACCTAGAATAAGAGGCACTACTAAAAGGCAAAATAAAAATCTGAAATGATCAATGGCTACCCTTCTAAGATAGTATAGATGCCAATCTGATAATTATTTTCAAGGCTTTTAAAACTGCCAAAGAGATCTAAATAACATGACATTTTTGGTCAGAATTTTAAAGCTGGAATTCATAGCGGTGAAACTGCCAAGTCCGTTTGCGATAGTACAACAACAAAGACATTACTTTAAACAATGAACACTTTTTTCCCCCCCTCTGACATCATTGTACGCGCAATACAACAGCAGAGTATGTACCATTTTTTTGTTTACCACGATGCTGGATACTCATTTCCTCAAAACAAATACAATAACAAATGTGCCTGGGGCAGCCGGTGTCGCTGTTTTGTCTATTGCGGATCTCAGCTTTAAGATAAAAATCGATGTTTCTGATTAGCTTCTTTTTTTAAATCATTGAATAGTTGTTTTGGAAATGTGCTGCTTGGCATGACATGGTTTATATAGGCCTAGAGCCCTGGACTGTTGATTTTGCTTGTATACAAAAGTGCAAAACAAACCTGGTTTAACTTGTATAACAGAACTTTCACTTGTCTCCTTATCCTGTAAGGGTTCTCCAACAGGCCAGTGTTTCCACTGTCTGCCCTCTGTAGCGCTGCTCAGTCCCTCTGATACCTCCAAGCTACTACTCTCAGAAACTGACCATGAAAGAAAGCCTTCCCACAAAGGAATAAATATATATTGAGTAGTGTCTTTTGTGTGGCCAAAGCATTTATCTTCAAATCTTAATAAACCTGGCCATCCTTTAGTCCAAATAAGTCCATTTCTACCTTTTCTCTTTCTCTGCACTGAAGGCAAGGCTCCTGGTTTAATTATGACATATTGATTTTGTAGTAAGCCTTGTTTGGCTTAATTACATCTTTTGTTGACCCTAATTCTGTCTTCCATTGTCCGCCCCCCGAAGCACTTACATTTTGTCATCACCTTTTTGTGCAGCTTTAAATATATAATCTGTCTTTGGTCATCGTCAACGTCAATGGTTCCCCTCTAAATCGGACCCTGTCGCCATTTATCTTTTGTTTCCGAAAGCTTTTGCATTGATGCCAAAGCAATCCATTTCCTAAATGATGTAATTATCTGCTAGTCTTTTTTGCACATTTAAAGTTGAGGGTTTATTTTAGATCAATTCAGACCACTTTGAGTGCAAATTGCACAATTGCATTGCCTTCAGATTTCTCACAAATCCAATTGGGATTAGGGCCTTTGGAGTGGAATGCCTAATGAAGCTTTTTTCGCCCTAGTCTCGGTGAAGGATTGGTTGTCCTTCACATGTTGACTGTGAAAGAAGCTACAGTTGCACTGCAATTAGAGGGAGAATAAATTGCAAATCCTCACCTTGGAGACGTGGCTGCCTTGTATGCCTGCAGCCAGCTGTGTCTTGGCTCAAGGTGGCTATGGGAAAGGCAATTAGTTTATTGAAAGATTTGACAGATAAACACATTTCTCCTGTCATCGCTGACTGGGCTCTTTCTGAATAAGGGATTCAATATTCCCTTGCACCATCATTAGTGCAGGTATTAGCACTGTAAGACTTAAAACCTCAATAGATGTAGTAGTGGTAGGAGAAGACCTAAGACCTCAATAGATGTAGTAGTGGTAGGAGAAGACCTAAGACCTCAATAGATGTAGTAGTGGTAGGAGAAGACCTAAGACCTCAATAGATGTAGTAGCGGTAGGAGAAGACCTAAGACCTCAATAGATGTAGTAGCAGTAGGAGAAGGCCTAAGACCTCAATAGATGTAGTAGTGGTAGGAGAAGACCTAAGACCTCAATAGATGTAGTAGCAGTAGGAGAAGGCCTAAGACCTCAATAGATGTAGTAGTGGTAGGAGAAGACCTAAGACCTCAATAGATGTAGTAGTGGTAGGAGAAGACCTAAGACCTCAATAGATGTAGTAGTGGTAGGAGAAGACCTAAGACCTCAATAGATGTAGTAGCAGTAGGAGAAGGCCTAAGACCTCAATAGATGTAGTAGTGGTAGGAGAAGACCTAAGACCTCAATAGATGTAGTAGCAGTAGGAGAAGGCCTAAGACCTTAATAGATGTAGTAGTGGTAGGAGAAGACCTAAGACCTCAATAGATGTAGTAGCAGTAGGAGAAGGCCTAAGACCTCAATAGATGTAGTAGTGGTAGGAGAAGACCTAAAACCTCAATAGATGTAGTAGTGTTAGGAGAAGACCTAAAACCTCAATAGATGTAGTAGTGGTAGGAGAAGACCTAAGACCTCAATAGATGTAGTAGCAGTAGGAGAAGGCCTAAGACCTCAATAGATGTAGTAGTGGTAGGAGAAGACCTAAGACCTCAATAGATGTAGTAGCAGTAGGAGAAGGCCTAAGACCTCAATAGATGTAGTAGTGGTAGGAGAAGACCTAAGACCTCAATAGATGTAGTAGTGGTAGGAGAAGACCTAAGACCTCAATAGATGTAGTAGCAGTAGGAGAAGGCCTAAGACCTCAATAGATGTAGTAGCAGTAGGAGAAGGCCTAAGACCTCAATAGATGTAGTAGTGGTAGGAGAAGGCCTAAGACCTCAATAGATGTAGTAGCGGTAGGAGAAGTTGTACATTCTCTCCATATGCGCTCACTGATAAAGTCACTTTAAAAGGTATGACCTCCTGTTTCTAGGCTGTGCAGCCGACAAAAAACCTACGATATTATTAGTGTTGCTCAACCTTCTCAAATGGAGAAAACTGAACAGACAAAGATCAGAAACCTATTGCAGAAATCGAACGGACTACATTGGGTTTAAAGGAGTCCCTCACCCAAATCCCTCTTTGACTCCACTACTCTCCTTTTCTGTTTCTGCTCCTGCCTGTGTTTATGTCCAGCCCCTCTTCCCAGACTGATTGGGCTGGGCGCTGGTGTGCCTCTGGTCTCTGAGGGAGTGTCAGCCTCTAGCAGGGGGGACGCAGACTGCCTGGCTGGCTGCCTGACTGGCTGGCTTGTTGGTTGACTGACTGGCTGACTGGCTGCTTGGCTTACTGGCTAGCTGGCTGGCGTCTCCATTGGGAGGGCTTAGGGAGGAGGGGGCTGGAGGCCACTAAATCAGTGCACGCTTGTCAACATCCTCGGGCCGCAGGAATTACTCAAGTGAAAATAACAAATGACTGTCATTGCAGAGCCAAAAACCTGTGATTATAATTATCACATCCCCAGTGACCTTGCATAAACTTTACTCTCTCTCCAATGGAGCATTTAAATAGCCTGTATCTACTGCCAGGGGAACCAGGAGTCTCGGGCCAGCGCCAAACCAGAGGATCACTGACTGTGTGAGGGATTGCACATGCTAGACAAGTGCACTCGTGTGTTTGTGTGTGTATGTGTGTGAGGGAGTATGTGTTTGTGTGTGAAAGAGTATGTGTTTGTGTGTGTATGTGTGTGAGGGAGTATGTGTTTGTGTGTGAAAGAGTATGTGTTTGTGTGTGTATGTGTGTGAAAGAGTGTGTGTTTGTGTGTGAGAGAGGGAAAGAAGGAGTGAGGGAGAGAAGGAGTGAGGGAGAGAAGGAGTGAGGGAGAGAAGGAGTGAGGGAGAGAAGGAGTGAGGGAGATGGTTTTAGAGATAATATCTAGAGAAAGAGAGGGAAAAACTTGACACTCAAGCTTTTTCAAAGAATGTTTCTACTGAATAACATAGTTTGTTTTTGTCTCTGGAGGTGGAGTTTCTTGCCATAACCAGAGGAAAACAAACACATTGACAGCTCTCAGCTCTCCTCTCAGCACGTCTACAGAATCATGTCACAGCACCACACTCATTAAACCCCAATCTACATGTCTCAGTTCAGAAACCAAGCCAAAGAGACAAAGCCCTCATTATTGTTTTGTCAACGTGAATATTCTGCCATGATGGCACCAAAGCGTGCCAGACATGACACCTCGATGTGACAGAGAGCTGATGGCCTCTTCCTGTCTGTGGTGAGGAGCTGTATATAGGGAATAGGGTGCCATTTGGGACATAACCCTGTCCTGTCCTGTTCTGATGCATCAGGGCCCATCAGGGTCCATCCTTCCCAAAACACTAATTGGAAGGGATTCCTTCCATTCTCTGGCACTCACAATTATTATGCATAGCTGGATGATTAGCCTAGATTAGCATTGTAGCAGCCATGTTCACTGGGAAGGCACACTATCACTGGGCCTTGCAGGAGAGCAGCACTGAGCACCCTCATTATCCTCATCAACAGTGAGCTAGTCACTGAGTTGCAGCTAGGGCTGGACCATCCTTCTGATAACAAGAGTATGTCTAACACATAACAATCAAAATTTTTACTTTTGTTAGGATTTCTAAAACATTCTTAGTACATTCTGTATCCATTACATTCTGCACCATTACATTCTGCATCATTACATTCTGTATCTATTACATTCTGTATCCATTACATTCTGTATCTATTACATTCTGCACCAGTACATTCTGCACCATTACATTCTATATCCATTACATTCCGTATCCATTACATTCTGTATCCATTACATTCTGCACCATTACATTCTGGACCATTACATTCTGTTTCCATTACATTCTGTATCTATTACATTCTGTATCCGTTACATTCTGGACCATTACATCTGTTTCCATTACATTCTGTATCCATTACATTCAGCACCATTACATTCTGTATCCATTACATTCTGTATCCATTACATTCTGTATCCATTACATTCTGCACCAGTACATTCTGTATCCATTACATTATGCACCATTACATTATGCACCATTACATTCCGCATCGATTACATTCTGCACCATTACATTCTGCACTATTATATTCTGTATCCATTACAATCTGTATCCATTACATTCTGTATCCATTACATTCTGCACCATTACATTCTGTATCCATTACATTCTGTGTCCATTACATTCTGCACCATTACATTCTGCACCATTACGTTCTGTATCCATTACATACTGTATCCATTACATTCTGCACCATTACATTCTCTATCCATGACATTCTGCACAAGTCGCTCTGGATAAGAGCGTCTGCTAAATGACGTAAATGTAAATGTACATTCTGCACCATTACATTCTGTATCCATTAAATTCTGTATCCATTACATTCTCCACCAGTACATTCTGTATCCATTACATTCTGCACCATTACATTCTGGACCATTACATTCTGTTTCCATTACATTCTGCACCATTACATTCTGTTTCCATTACATTCTGTATCTATTACATTCTGTATCCATTACATTCTGGACCATTACATCTGTTTCCATTACATTCTGTATCCATTACATTCAGCACCATTACATTCTGTATCCATTACATTCTGTATCCATTACATTCTGCACCAGTACATTCTGTATACATTACATTATGCACCATTACATTCTGCACCATTACATTCCGTATCGATAACATTCTGCACCATTACATTCTGCACTATTATATTCTGTATCCATTAAAATCTGTATCCATTACATTCTGTATCCATTACATTCTGCACCATTACATTCTGTATCCATTACATTCTGTGTCCATTACATCCTGTATCCATTACATTCTGTATCGATTACATTCTGCACCATTACATTCTGCGCCATTACGTTCTGTATCCATTACATTCTGTATCCATTACATTCTGCACCATTAAGTTCTTTATCCTTTACATTCTGCACCATTACATTCTGTACCCATTACATTCTGCACCAGTACATTCTGCACCATTACATTCTGAACCAATACCTTCTGTAACCATTACATTTTGTATCCATTACTTTCCGTATCCATTACATTCTGCACAATTACATTCTGCACCATTACATTCTGCACCATTACATTCTGTTACCATTATATTCTGTATCCATTACATTCTGCACCAGTACATTCTGTATTCATTACATTCTGCACCATTAATTCTGTATCCATTACATTCTGCACCATTACATTCTGTATCATTACATTCTGGACCATTACATTCTGCGTCATTACATTCTGCACCATTACATTCTGTATCCATTACATTCTGCACCATTACATTCTGGACCATTACATTCTGGGCCATTACATCTGTTTCCATTACATTCTGTGTCCATTACATTCTGCACCTTTACATTCTGTATCCATTACACTCTGTATCCATTACATTCTGCACCATTACATTTTGGACCATTACATTCTGTTTCCATTACATTCTGGACCATTACATCTGTTTCCATTACATTCTGCACCATTACATTCTGCACCAATACCTTCTGTAACCATTACATTTTGTATCCATTACTTTCCGTATCCATTACATTCTGCACAATTACATTCTGCACCATTACATTCTGCACCATTACATTCTGTTACCATTATATTCTGTATCCATTACATTCTGCACCAGTACATTCTGTATTCATTACATTCTGCACCATTAATTCTGTATCCATTACATTCTGCACCATTACATTCTGTATCATTACATTCTGCACCATTACATTCTGCGTCATTACATTCTGCACCATTACATTCTGTATCCATTACATTCTGCACCATTACATTCTGGACCATTACATTCTGGGCCATTACATCTGTTTCCATTACATTCTGTGTCCATTACATTCTGCACCTTTACATTCTGTATCCATTACACTCTGTATCCATTACATTCTGCACCATTACATTTTGGACCATTACATTCTGTTTCCATTACATTCTGGACCATTACATCTGTTTCCATTACATTCTGTGTCCATTACATTCTGCACCATTACATTCTGTATCCATTACATTCTGTATCCATTACATTCTGTATCCATTCAATTTTGCACCATTACATTCTGCACCATTACATTCTCTATCCATTACATTCTGCACCAGTACATTCTGCACAATTACATTCTGTATCCATTATATTCTGCACAATTACATTCAGCACCATTAATTTCTGTATCCATTACATTCTGTATCCATTAAAATCTGTATCCATTACATTCTGCACCATTACATTCTGCACTATTATATTCTGTATCCATTACAATCTGTATCCATTACATTCTGTATCCATTACATGCTGCACCATTACATTCTGTATCCATTACATTCTGCACCATTACATTCTGCACCATTACGTTCTGTATCCATTACATTCTGCACCATTACGTTCTTTATCCTTTACATTCTGCACCATTACATTCTGTATCCATTACATTCTGCACCAGTACATTCTGCACCATTACATTCTGCACCAATACCTTCTGTAACCATTACATGTTGTATCCATTACTTTCCGTATCCATTACATTCTGCACAATTACATTCTGCACCATTACATTCTGCACCATTACATTCTGTTACCATTATATTCTGTATCCATTACATTCTGCACCAGTACATTCTGTATTCATTACATTCTGCACCATTAATTCTGTATCCATTACATTCTGCACCATTACATTCTGTATCATTACATTCTGCACCATTACATTCTGCGTCATTACATTCTGCACCATTACATTCTGTATCCATTACATTCTGGACCATTACATTCTGGGCCATTACATCTGTTTCCATTACATTCTGTGTCCATTGCATTCTGCACCTTTACATTCTGTATCCATTACACTCTGTATCCATTACATTCTGCACCATTACATTCTGGACCATTACATTCTGTTTCCATTACATTCTGGACCATTACATCTGTTTCCATTACATTCTGTGTCCATTACATTCTGCACCATTACATTCTGCATCCATTACATTCTGTATCCATTACATTCTGTATCCATTAAATTTTGCACCATTACATTCTGCACCATTACATTCTCTATCCATTAAATTCTGCACCAGTACATTCTGCACTATTATATTCTGTATCCATTACATTCTGCACAATTACATTCAGCACCATTAAATTCTGTATCCATTACATTCTGTACCATTACATTCTGTATCCATTAAAATCTGTATCCATTACATTCTGCACCATTACATTCTGCACTATTATATTCTGTATCCATTACAATCTGTATCCATTACATTCTGTATCCATTACATTCAGCACCATTACATTCTGTATCCATTACATTCTGCACCATTACATTCTGCACCATTACGTTCTGTATCCATTACATACTGTATCCATTACATTCTGCACCATTACGTTCTTTATCCTTTACATTCTGCACCATTAAATTCTGTATCCATTACATTCTGCACCAGTACATTCTGCACCATTACATTCTGCACCAATACCTTCTGTAACCATTATATTTTGTATCCATTACTTTCCGTATCCATTACATTCTGCATAATTACATTCTGCACCATTACATTCTGCACCATTACATTCTGTACCAGTACATTATGCACCATTACATTCTGTATCCATTACATTCTGCACCAGTACATTCTGCACAATTACATTCTGTATCCATTACATTCTGCATCATTACATTCAGCACCATTACATTCTGTATCCATTACATTCTGTACCATTACATTCTGTATCCATTAAAATCTGTAACCATTACATTCTGCACCAGTACATTCTGTATCCATTACATTCTGCACCATTACATTTTGGACCATTACATTCTGTTTCCATTACTTTCTGTGTCTATTACATTCTGTATCCATTACATTCTGGACCATTACATCTGTTTCCATTACATTCTGTATCCATTACATTCTGCACCATTACATTCTGTATCCATTACATTCTGCACCATTACATTCTGTATCCATTACATTCTGCACCAGTACATTCTGCACAATTTCATTCTGTATCCATTACATTCTGTATCCATTATATTCTGTATCCATTACATTCTGTACCATTACATTCTTTATCCATTACATTCTGTATCCATTACATTCTGCACCAGTTCATTCTGTATCTATTACATTCTTTATCCATTACATTCTGTATCCATTACATTCTGAATCCATTACATTCTGTATCCATTACATTTTGGACCATTACATTCTGTGTCCATTACATTCTGTATCCATTACATTCTGTAACCATTATATTCTTTACCCATTACATTCTGTATCCATTACATTCTGTAAACCATTATATTCTTTACCCATTACATTCTGTATCCATTACATTCTGTAAACCATTATATTCTTTACCCATTACATTCTGTATCCATTACATTTTGTGTCCATTACATTCGGTTTCCGTTACATTCTGCACCATTACATTCTGCACCATTACATTCTGTATCCATTTACATGTAGAATAGGTTTGTAATGGATATTTCAGATACAGTTATGTGATTATCTTGTGATTTTCTTTGAGATAATATAATAGTGAACAGCCTTCAGAGCCTTGTTCAATGTTCATACAGCATCACAACATTACCTGTTGCCACTAGATGGCACTAATCATTATGCCCCATCCCTCTATGTACTACTAAATACAGATCTCTAAAAGTGGGTCAGAAACTGAGATGCTGTCAAACATTGGTAGAGATGTCAGGGAATTGTTTAATTTTTTAAGTCTCGAGTTCAGTTGATTCAAAGTCAAGGCTGTCTTTATTTTTTATAAGGATAGTTATTTATATCGTTTTGGTCATGCCCCATGTCTCTTGATTGAGTCCTACTCACACAGTTCACAAGCAAGAGTTACATTTGAATCAGTGAGGACAAAGGTTTAAAGAGAGCATGTAGAAATATCTCCCACAAACCCATGACTAATGTGATGGTGAGGGAGCTACATATTGACGAGAAGCCAAGCCACACAGACAGTAGGAATTGCTGCGGCCGTTCTCTATGTCCCCATATTACTCTAGAATGAGCTGTGACTTCATGGACACAATACCTCCTCTTAACTTCCACATACTGCAGTAGGGATATATTTTAACAGGGTCATATTCTGATGTCATGGTCTCTCTCAATGGTCACTCTTTCAGGACACACACACACACGGACAGACAAGCTACTGTCTCCCCCCTCCCTTCTTCTCCACACACCCACCCCCTTCCTGGCTCCTGAGGAGTCAGACTGGACCACATTAATCTACTTAATCATGATTCCTGCTCCACAGGATGATGAATTAAAACATTGTGTAATACATTCTGGTATCGCCTGTGATCAATATGAAACATGGTACATGGTATTAATTTCCCTGCCTGTGACATAACTGTGACCTGGACAGCAGTTGGAATCCTGAGGCATGAGCCGCAATAGCCGGGAACTCTGGGAGATGGTGTCTCATGAAACAAACACGCATATCCACACGCACACGCATGCACACACACTCACGCACAGACACATTCACACGCTCACACGCACACTCATACAACACCGAATGATTAGAATGATTAGATATCTATATCTACTGGGCCCCGTGTAGCTCAGTTGGTAGAGCATGGCACTTGCAACGCCAGGGTTGTGGGTTCGATTCCCACGGGGGGCCAGTATAAAAAAAAGAAGAATGTATGCACTCACTAAGTGTAAGTCGCTCTTTATAAGAGTGTTATGACAAAAAAATGTAAATTTAAAAAAAAAATCACAGATGTGTATGATTAGAATATAGTGGTAATTTATGTTTCCGAAGCCATTTCACATGTTTCGTGTCGAGGTAGTAACTGGAAACAGTTTTAACTGTAATAGTATTGCTACTATTTAGCTCTGTCAAAACCAATTAGAAATGAATGGAACGCATGGCCCAAAAGGCAACACAGCTTGTTTATGTGATGTGTTATTAATATGTATATTCAAATGTTCAGTGTGGGAAATTGTTTTTATTTGTGAGTGTGTATACTGTAAGTCTATATGTTTGTGTGTGTGTGTGTGTGTGTGTGTGTGTGTGTGTGTGTGTGTGTGTGTGTGTGTGTGTGTGTGTGTGTGTGTGTGTGTGTGTGTGTGTGTGTGTCATGTATGTATGTGAGTCACTCTTTCAGAGGGCTCATATGAGTGTGAGCCAGAGGGAGTTGGGGGTCAAGTGATTTGCCCTGGGGTCAACTGACTGCGGCTACTCTAAGTCCCCACCATTAGCCTGTATCCCATAGAGAGTCCTCCACGGCCCTCTCCCTCAGATCAGACGGCTCAATGTTAATACGATATGAAGACCCTCAAATTTGTTTGTTGTAGATTCTCCCCCATTTTAATGGGAATGTATCATCTGCCCAAGCAGCCAGCGTGTTGACCTCTTCATTGTGATTTGGGGCCTTTTTTCCCGTCAATGGATTTTCTATCCACTTTTGTTTTTCTCGCTTAGACTGAAGGATTGATGAGCTCGTAGAGCTGAAAGTGAGCTATGAGGAAAATGAGCGTTTTGCTTATGTTTACCAATGCATGCAAAATGTAATGATTATCTTCTCAGCTTTTTGATTTCAGCTGTCATCTCAGAGAAGAAGGCTACAGTGATACACATCATTTATGCTCCATCCAGGGGCGTCATGAGGGGGCACAAAGTATGAGGAGGGCTAGGGTCCTCCGTCCGGAAGATGGAGAATTTTTATTTTTCCTGCAATCTAGAGCCATAGTCATTATGCTTGCTTCTATCACAAAAATATGTATATTTCTCTGCATATCTAATCATAGCTCAAGGGGCTGTCTGTATCCTCCTGACTGGTAGTTCTTTTTTTAAATAAATTAAATATGCTTCTCTGCTAAAATCTGGGTAAAAGATTTCCCTTCAATGGAACTAAGGGGCCTAGCCCAAACCATGAAAAACAGCCCCAGACCATATTATTCCTCCTCCACCAAACTTTACAGTTGGCACTATGCATTCGGGCAGGTAGCGTTCTCCTGGCATCCGCCAAACCCAGATTTGTCCGTCGGAATGCCAGATGGTGAAGCGTGATTCATCACTCCAGAGAACGCATTTCCAATGCTCCAGAGACCAATGGCAGCGAGCTTTACACCACTCCAGCCGACGCTTGGCATTGTGCATGGTGATCTTAGGCTTGTGTGTGGCTCCTCGGCCATGGAAACCCATTTCATGAAGCGCCTGACGAACAGTTCTTGTGCTGACATTGGCTCCAGAGGCAGTTTGGAACTCGGTAGTGAGTGTTGCAACCGAGGACAGACGATTTTTACACGCTACGCGCTTCAGCACTCGCCGGTCCCGTTCTGTGAGCTTGTGTGGCCTACTTCGCGGCTGAGCCATTGTTGCTCTTAGACGTTTCCACTTCACAATAACGGCACTGACAGTTGACCGGGGCAGCTTTAGCAGGACAGACATTTGACGAACAAACTTGTTGGAAAGGTGGCATCCTATGAAGGTAACTCATTGAAAGTTACTGAGCTCTTCATTAAGGCCATTCTACTGCCATTGTTTGTCTATGGAGATTGCATGGCTGTGTGCTCCATTTTATACACCTGTCAGTAACGGGTGTGGCTGAAATAGCCGAATCCACTAATTTGAAGGGGTGTCCACATACTGCTGTGTATATAGTGTAGTTAGACAAGCTAGCTACTCTAACTTGATTGATAGGTTCCCTCCATAGGTGAGTAGGACCTACATTTTATGTAATGTGCTGTAATGTAATGTACTGTAATGTACTGTAATGTACTGTAATGTACTGTAATGTAATGTACTGTAATGTACTGTACTGTAATTGCTCAAATTTAGATAATGTCTGATGTATACTTTTTCCAGAATTTGTGCTAATAATAATAATAATAATAATAATAACAGTTAATTAATAGTATGTGTCTTGTAATCATAAGCAATTTGCAAAACTATGACTACAATGAAAAGAGATACCCCCACACGCGCGTGCGCACGCACGCACACACGCACACACGCACACACGCACACACTTACACATCGGCAGACACAAACAGCCCAGTGCTATATTACAAATACATAAATCATAATGTTTCAACAAAAGCAGAATTTCATTTTCCCTCTCTCAGCTGTTATCTTGGTTGGGTGGTATATAGCGTGCTTTGGCCTAGTAATTTATTACTCTTGCTGAATGGATAATGGCAGGCCGTAGTCTATCACCCAAAGCTTTGTTAGAGCCCTAAATGCATTCTGAGGACCTATAGTTCCCCAAATCTCTTCAAATCTCTAGTACTTACTTATACAACGCGGGTCATTATTAAATGCCACAACAAAATGTAATATTTTAGAGATATGACATTCCACATTTCAATTATTTAATCTAACGGTTATTCTGCTAAAAATAAGATCACAACAATTAGAATTACTTTTTTTCTAATTTACGTTATAGAAGTCCCAACAATCAGAAAACATTGTTTATCTGATCATGATAGAAAATGAAATATGTCGAAAGTAGCATGAAAGAACTCCACAAAGTAGATTGGAAGAAGTAAATGAATTTGACCAAAACCATTAGTTAAATCTCTTGTATTTTGTTTTAGCTCTGCATTATATTTGTGTGAAGAGTTTACAGCAATTGTTATTTACTAGATACATATTGATGTTTATATTTACAATAGAACAATTTGTATAGCATCCAATGTCTTTTACATTGAATGTAGTCTGTCTTGGGTCAGGGATCGGCCAAGCATAGGATTGGCTAGATGCAT